GAATTACGTTGAGCTATCTACTTTGATAAATAATTTCATAATATTTTTGAATTTGTTTGAATTGTAAGTAAAAGACTAAAATAAATAATATGAAATAAATAGTAAATGAATAGTAGCGAAAAAAAATTACAATTTAAAAACATTTAAGCACAGAAGTACAGTATTTTTTTTTTTTTTAACCACATTGTTATAAACTCGCATGTTAATATTTTAAATGTTTATTCATATTTTCATAATAATATGAAAAATGTATGAAAAGGAAAATATATTTAATAGCAAAAAAAAAAATCTGTGCTGTCTCATGTTTTTGTGTGACGTTTAAGTATTATTTTTAATTTGACGAAATAAAAAATTTAATTCCAAGATTTTTGTTATGAAATATTGAGTTTTTACTATAAAAACGGGCTACCCAATTTACCCGATATCCTGTAACTGAAAAGATTTCGACAGGAGGCTCTTTTGTTTTGTTTGTGCACTATTTGTATTGTAAATAAGTCGGTTACGACTCACAAAAAGATTTCTCGGCTGAATACCATCGAACGCAATCGTGAAGTTGTCCGAACTTCCATTAATTCCACTGTCGGTGTATACGTAGACACTTGGACCATATTGCGTGCGTATGGCTTCTGTTGATTGAACAGAATAGCCGTCGGTTTGTTGAAAAAAAACTCGACGGCTCTCTACAGCAATGAAATCTTTTTCGCGGTGCGCCGTTGATTGATAACGGTCCTCTGGTTCGGACGGGGTGAGATTAATTATCATCAGCGGCGTTGTTAGGGAATCCGACGTTTCTTAGCCTACCCTTTTCTACAACACCGCCATTCATGTCCAAAGGTTCATTTATGTCTCATCCCGCTAACGCTATATCCCAAAAACATCCTAATCCAATATTTGGTATTATTCTTACTGAAACCACTTGTAATAATTAAATATAACAAGTATATAACTTGTACACAATACTACAATGCATTAACCATTGTACAACTTATCTCTCGTCTCTTTCGTTTCATAATAATTACAACAAAATATCTGTATAATAATTTAATTCAATACGGTCATAGTGTTTGTTTGCGAAAATCACTAAAGGTCGACAATAAAACGGAGAATGTTTTTACCATAAAATTATAAAAAAGCAAAACTTGAAAACAAAAGCATCTTATTATATTGACAATTTATAGTTATAAATAAAATTAACTTAACGAAAACAGTATGATTATTAGGTCAATTAAACGATAAGTTAACGTAAATAATGGTAACTTAAAATAAAGCTATGTGAACAATTTTTTAAGTTCAATTACCTTAAAAGTTTAATGAAGATTTATTTATTTTTGCTTAAAACGTTAACGCTAATTCATTTATGACCAGCCTGAACAATCTAATATAAACTCTCATTGATATTTACTGCTAATAACGTGTTTCATATTGAAATAATAGTTTAGAAGTTTAGGTTTATTCACTAATTAATTTATTTTACTGTAAACAACACAGATAAACAACAATTTAAAGTTATGAATAATTATTCCAATTTAAAACGTTTTCAGCACTAAATACAAACGAATGCAGGTACGATATGGACTGTAGACTGCGCATTGTTTACGACAAGTTGCCTCGATCGAATTAATTTCATTTAGGAAAATGTTCATACGTTTTAAGAGTTTCCACATGACTTTGTAATACAACGGGTGTTAAGAATTAAACGTCGGGTCTAATTTAAATGATAAAACACGTTAAGATAATATCAAAATTATTTCAATTAACACGTACCGGTATACATTTTACTAATTGCTAGCGTAACATCTGGCACGTTGATGTTTGTACAATACCGTCGATCGCAAGTTTATCCGTTAGACATTGCAATTTGTATTCTCGTTAGATAACTACAGATTAGAAAATAATCAGATCCTTTTGAATTTCAAATGAATTCGTGTTTACTCGCTAGTAGTTTTTCATGTCGATCCAGCAACATTAAGTGCACTTTTTCACACTGATTTCACATTGCTTGATTATTAATTGAAATGAAATCAGGGTAATTGTATAATGCAGATTGTTTTATACTAGTTGATGCTGTTACAGTAGGACCTGATATTAAAATGCGGATAACATCTAGATAGAGTTCATCCAATGATTCCATTAAGATTTTTATTCTAATAATAGTTATTTTGCGTCTAGTTGTTTAATGCGTTTAGCGAGTGAATTATGATAGAAATTTGAATAAATTAAAAAATGGTTTATTCAGGATGTGAATAAAGAAAACTTTATTAGACTGAGTAACTCTAGCTTTGAATTGAATAGCATAAATCCAATAAACTTTTAACTATATTGTAATGCTCATTTTCTCAGAATGTCTATAATAGCAAAGGCCTGTTGGTTTTTATTTCATAACACTTCTAAGGATATTATAAAAACTATCGACGTCGGCTGCAATATTTATTTATTCACAAGACTTAGAAACTTTTTTCTACGGTTGCCTTTTTTTTATTTGTATAATTTAATACTATTTTTCAACCTCGACGTAATGCAATTCATTTATACTCGGTAATTTTATCTGTTATTGACGTCTTGATAATATTACTTAGTTGGCATATTCAAAAAGATTGTTACATACACTATCCTCAAAGATTACACAGGTAATTTTTATCAAACCTAGTAAAACGAATCTTATCGTTTATGAAGAACCTTTTAAATTGTAAGTAAATGACGGTTACAATACTGCATCTAAATCCATAGAAATATTATTATTGGAGTTGGCTGCCAGACGGCACAAAATTTGTTTGCATCATTTTATATTTGGACAGACATTCCACCAGTTTTATATTTAATCCACGATCAGATATCAATGGTTAATTTTCCCCGTCATTTCCCCACCTACCGTTCCAACCACTAACCGATCAAATGGAACGTTGTTTAATATTGTCGCCGTTACGTGAATATTAATTGAACGCATGTGTGTGAATTACCTGCTGTTGTTTTTGCCACAAACTATCGCATTTACTTGATAGGTTTGCCCTCTGCTTAAATCTAAGCGGTTAATAAAAAGCTATTTATCGACTCGATTGCAAATGGTTTCTTTTTATTTTCTCTTTTTTGAACAACTTGAACAATAGCCGAAAATTTATTTCTACATTTTACTTACCGTGTTCGCCGTATCTATTTCATTTCCAAAGTACTGTTGTTATTTTTTACAACAACTATTTGGTCTCGAAACAGTTATCGTACACGTTTATTTTCACATACTGGTGCAATTTTCCTTTATTAATACTCTAAGTGCTTTTTCTTTATTATTCTCGTTTCTTAAACTACTTTAAATGTTTATGTAGATAGTAGATTCAACATCATGGCAGCGTTTAAGTGAACGGATGTGAACCATTTATAACATAAATATAAAACTTTCCTGTTATAATATTTATAGTAGGTAAAATATTGATCTAGTGTAGTAAAAAAATAGACTATTTTTTATTCGTCATTTCTTTATTTTTAAGGAAAAATAATTTTTCAAGATTTTCTATAAGAAGGTGTTAAGTAATTAACCAAGATCATTTTAGAAATAACTTAATAATAGTGCTCAAACTATATGATAAAATTATTTTTAATGAACAATTAACGTTATGTAAAGCCAATAACATTATATTTGAAATGTATCAAGTTTCATCGAGAATAATATTACACTTTCTAACACGAAAAATATTTGAGTTTTTTGTACTCGCTAACATAAACATGATATTCTTTTAAAAAACAATTTTATTATATAATGTTTTATTATTATTGATTGGTATAAATGAAGTATTTAGAGCGTATTTTTTTATGATCAGTATAGCCACTTACAGTGTACTACATCCGTGTATTAATGATATTGTGCGATGTTCTTTAGTTAAATGTTGGATTGTACAATTTTTTGAATAATGTAAACCACATATTCTCGTACTTTCCTAATTACTTTTGATATTTTACTTAGCAATATAATTTGGTGGACTTTTTTTAAATTAAAATTAGCTTCGGATCGTGTTATTTTCAAAAGTTTGAATAGTATATTTAAAAATATATAAAGATGTTTTTAAATTTATTCAAAATTTAAAACAGTTATAATTTTAGTTTCTCCAATAAGTGTTGTTTATATTATTAAAAACTTTGTTAATCTAAATTATTATATTACTCAAACTGTATAAATTATTCTATTAGACTAAAATATGATTAAAAAATTAAACATAATTGAAAATTTAAATAAAATGAATAATCTTTTTAGAGTCGTTGCTTCTAGGGTTTTTTTTTTTTTAGTTGAAAGCAAACAAATAAAAACCCACCAGACCATTTATAATGTGTTTTGCAACAAAAAAAAAAAACTTGTCACCTTTGTATAATTACTGAGATGAAGTCATAATTATTTATATTTCAATTATTAAGTTGTTATCTAAAAAATTAAAACACACTTATATAAAAATGATATATGACAATTAAAAGTACATTACAGTTTAATCAATCGCTGATATACTTTTTGTAGGATAAACGGTAATTTAATTTTTTTTTCTATGTTCTTTATGTTATTTGTAGCTTTGTGTTTTTAATATTATTTTTTTAACTTTGTTTATCGGGCAATTAATTTTATTTTTATAAATATTTTCTTTTTAGGTATAGTAAAATATATTCAGCATAAACTCATAAAATAGTGTAAATATAAAATGATATATGTTCACAAAACACTGAAGTACGACAATTTATTTCCTTGAATATATTAGTACACTTTACAGTATCATACTTCAAATACTGTGTAAGCTTACTTTTACTACAACTGTAGTAAATTAAAGTATATACGTTTATGTTAGGGGACCTTTTAACATTCAGTGGTTTAACTATCTACAGTTTATCTTAAATATATGAAGTTACAGTGAGCCTACCAAAGAAATTCTATTCCTTGTGATTGCAAAAGATCAAACGCATGTAATGAAATAATAATGTTTAATTCAATAATGAAAAAGGCATCACTTAGTAGATTACATTAATTTTACCTCGACAAATTCCTGCGGGGCTGTAATAGTCATCGTATTGACAAACCAGACCTTTTCTTTGGTCACACACAGCTATGCCATCGCACGGATCTCCATCTTGTCTAGCACATACAGGGCAGCAACCGCAGCCATCGCGAGTGTGTGGTACGCCTGGTTCGCACACTGGATCCCTGTTGGCACATTGACATGGGTACGTACAATGCGATCGGATCTGTAGAAAAAATTCACTATGTTAGGAAAAAACACAAATTAAAATTATTTTGACATAACTGCGAGGAAAAAAACAAAATTGCTTCTACTCACATGAACTGATACATATAAATAAACCTAACATATAAATTCTTAAAAAAATAACCCGAAGTTAAAAAAAGGTAAAATAAGGACTACTTTGCATGTCAATGTAAATGTTTGACATTTAAGTACACTGAGTGTTTGTAGTAAGCTTTAAAATATTTGGGTTACCCTGTTTCAAGGTAGAATGTCAAAAAAGCTTTCACACAATAGTTACAAAATTATACTTAAACAAAAATTTAAATAAATTAAGATGAACCTTATAAACTTTTAATTTAATATCAGTAATTAATTTCGGGTTTAAGAAAGATCAATAATGAATGGCAAATGAGGGTTGTGGTCGAGAGAGCAATAATCTTACTCGTAAAAAATATTTCTGTTTATTATGTAAAATTTGCATTGCATATAAACAAAATGTACTTTTTTATTTTAGTAGGAAATATCAATAAGAAATATTTAGCTACTTAGATCTTTTTTTAATTATCTCCACCAGAATTTCATATATTATAGCTATAAATCGTGGACGTTTTATGGTGTACTGTGTATGACAGCAGATACAAATAAACAACAAAATGTAATTTATTCCGTTACTTTATAGGTAAAAAGTATACATCATAAAAATTTCCATGTGAACATTAATTTAAATAATATTTAACTTTACATTTTTATTTGACATTTTATAATATGTGTTTTTAGATACTTTTCCTTAGAGTGTAAGAAGTTGTGTTTCGTGTAGTACAAGACGCCGAATAAGTTGCGTTACCCAACTAGAAATACGTGTGAATACTATTTTTATCATAATTTCTGTACGTCAATAAGTTTCAAAATATCAAAATTGCCTAAGGTTAAAAGTTAAGAACTTAGAAAGGTAGGTACATTATCATATCCAATTTTCTCTAACTACGTGTTTCTGAATAAAATATTAAAATGAGGATACTAACAAACATCATTAAATCAAAGTGTTATATTATGATTTTAAGTTTGATACATTGAAAATGATTTAGTATACTTATATTATTTGTGCATTCAAAAATCATACTTCATAATAATAATACTAATAAGTACTTTTAAATTTTTACAGACAAAATTTTTTTTTATAAGTTCATATTATTGTTATTGAACTCTGTACGTGTAGTTTTAATAGTGTTATGCATGTTTCAATCATTTAGTAGTAAAATGTTGAAAATTTGTGTGTATTTAAGTTGGTATTTAACAGCTTTGCTAGTTGTACAACTCTCAACAATATTATATGAACTAGAAAGCTCATTACAAACTTTGAAAATGTTCATGATAAGTTGTTTAAGTTTAAAATAATCATAACGTTTAAATGAAACCTCAGACCTCATTACTTACCCTTTAGCAGTTTACAAGTAAATCTAATAATTGGATTCTACACAAAAACTCATGTTATATAACAAACATTAATACACATAAGATTAAGAATATTAGAAAAATTTTGTAGTAGATAAATATTAAAGATAATTTTTATAAAATATTGTATTTATGTATCTATGTTAATTGCCGCTAATTGTATAGAATCGTAGTAAATTAATGCTATTTTTTAGGTATTAATTAGCGTAAAGAAAACGTTAACAACGAACCATTTATGTCTAGTTTTCACATTCAAGTTGTATTTATTGTACTTCTAAATTAGGTTGTATGCTTCGAGAAAGAAAATTAGATGACTTCAGAAAAGTTTACTGAGTGCATTGTTATAGAAACCCTTGAAATGATAATATGAACACAAACGCGTTTTTTATAGGATTCCTATAGTCTATTCAGATAGACAATATCCTCAATGATATATATTTTATATATTAAGAAATTTTGTTTATGCATTAGTAATAAGCCTATTTTTTTCTTCATAGTTTCTTATTTATTAATTTAATTTACGTATTACTAAAATAGGTTAGTTTTTTAAATAAACAAGCAGTATAATTATTCAAGTAAATATAAATTATTTTATTTATTTGTTAATAAATATGTATTCAAGTGTTCAATACTTTTCAACTTTTAATAAAAAATAAAAGGGAGCCAGAGTATTATAAAAAGAACCTCGAAAAGAGTTAATTAAATTATATTATGTTATTATATCAATAAGTTGATACAATGATATCATGTAAATACCATTATTGCAATTGAAACGGTTATTTACGTATTTTTAATTTTAAATCAAATTACCACAACGGAATTAATTCTTTGATGTGAATTCTTATTCATATTTCACTATGAATTCTTAATAAATTAAAATAAAATTGTTAATCAACTTCTGTATTTTGTTGACACCTTTTTAGTTTCACGTATCATGAGATCATACAGCGGCATCATGTAAACACATTTTAATAGCAAACACCCATATGCATTTTCATGAATAAGAGCTCAAGATCGTTTGTATCAAAGAGCTTAATATAAGGATATTTGATCAAAACCGGCTTGAAACAAACATCTTTTGAATAATTAGTGTGTTACAATAGCTATTAATTCTTACATCTATGGAATACAGAACCGTAGCAATATTGCCTATACAGAACGCCGTAATACATTTTTCTTGGTTAGATTGCAAGCGTTTTAAAAATATGATTATTATTAATAATTTTTTACTTGAGTTATAATACAATTTTTTATTTTAAGTAAATATCTAATTTGAATTAACCAATGAGATCTTTAATTCTATTCAATAATGAATTGTACATTATATTATTAAAATTATATAATTATTATTTTGATAATAGTTAATTATATATTTATATCTATGTTTGTAAAACATATACAATTTAAACTGTTAGTAACTCATGAAATATATCAAACTATAGCTAATTCAAAATTATATTTTGTAACTTATCAATTTAATTGGTATATTGTATTCAAATCGATAAACAATGATGTATGACTGTAAATTGAAAAATTCCCATCAATTTTAGATAATATATCCTACAGATTTCTTTTTAAACAAGCGAATTTTTTGCATCATCAAAAATATTGTTTATACTATTCTTAATCTCATAACATAAACTATATTTTTGATCAACATTAAAATGGATAACTACAAGTTACTGTACAATTTTTAATATTAATAAATATGTTTACTGCATGAGATTTAAATATGAATAGTTCAATAATTCGTTATAAATAGCACGCGCAACATTATTTTTTATCCACTTATCGAATAATCAAAAATATAGGTATACATGATTACTTAGATAGGATTGCAAAAAATAATGCATACAAATATTTTAGACAACTTAAGGACAAAAAATAAACGGGGGTTTGTTCCGAAAAAAACCAAAACACGAGTATTATATTAGTATGATAAGAAAATAGCGTTTATTGGTAGGTATGAACTTATTTTACGCAATGGTACAACAAACACGTAGGGGCTGTTTTGTTAAAAAAATTTCTTCTAAAGTCCGTAACCTTTTCATACCGGACGGGAAGCTTTACACTTTAGTTGTTAGAAAAGCATTACCATCACAGTCAACGTTTGTAAGCTTATAATCCTATCATTTTACGTAGTTTGTTTGGAGGTTGTATATATTAAAAAATAGTTTCAATGTGTGTGAATCTTGATTTGTAAACCGATAACAGAGAATCGCGTTTAAAATGTTTAATGTTTTATAGCAAGTTCACGCGTAACAAAATTTATTATACTTTCATGTCACATATCCAAAACAGTTAGATGACGTTTAAGACATATTCTGTAGTATACAAGCTCTATTAAGTACTTTGAAACTCAAATGAGGTGTTGTATAGCCCATTAAAGTAAGTTAAAACTTTCATAAAAACAATTTAAAAGTTTTAAATATAATAATCAAATAAATATAACAGAAAAAATAAGATTTTTTTAAGACATAACATACAAAATATATTATCACAAAATGTATTATCAATAATACACATAATTGACATTATAATTAGTGATGGGATTTATCGAATAGTAACTATCGAACTATTCGATAGTTATTCAAAAAATATTCGATAGTTACATAGTATATTCGAATAGTTTTTAAAACTATTCGATAGTTTATGCTAAAAATAAACTAGTCGGTTTATTATTTGTACTATTATTCATTGTATAATAATTTATTTTAAGTAATCGTTAATTATCTTCTTATATAAAGTGCACTTGATAAAAATTTTAGGTAGAACTAATCGAATATTTTTTAAAACCATTCGATAGTTTATCTTAAAAATAAACTATTCGGTTGTATAAAAACAATTCGAATAGTTATTCGATAGTTTAAAATATTCGAAAATGCCCATCACTAATTATAATTACTATCAAATGGGCCAACTTGGAATGTGGTTGACCTTGGGGACGTTAAATATCTATTATAATTTAAGTCGTATCAATATACAGCAATAGTAAAATGTTTACAAGTTTTGTTACAAAGCACAAAATATTTTACAACAAATATTATATGATCAAATCTATAAAATATTTAACTCGCTCAAGTAGGCTCGATTGACGGTACGCTTTATCACACCATAGCAAATAAAAGTTCCAAATTTGATCACAATAATTAAGAATAAAAACTAAAAATATCAATATTGAAATTAAAAAATAATCACTACAGTCATGACCCAGGGAAACAGACTTCAATATTGTATGAAATATGATGATAACAACGTTCTCATAAAACGCTTCATTGCAATTTTTTACAAAACAAGACTAAAAGAAATGTAAAATTTGACTATAGCTGCCAATAACATAAAGAACAAATGTTACCTAGACGTTTTTTTTTATATCAAGTTATCTTTAAAATATTTTATTTGGTTTAGATTTAAATAACGTAAACTTTCCAAAACAGTATCAAAATTAGAATAAAAAAAAAATTGTATGCATATGTTGCTGCATTCAAACAATTCATGTACTTAGAGTTTTGATAAGATTTTAATATAATGTCTACTAATTTTTGAAAA